CAGACTCTGCACAGAGAGATTTTGGGGATTGCTTATGCTCTGGGATGGGGTCTTGATCTGCTTTGAGTACTCCTTTCTCAGCAGCAAGCTCCCAATTAGCCTTGAAGACCCTGATATGGATCCCACACTTGTTGGTGTAGGCTTGTGCAGCAAAGAAATTAGATCAGGAGAAGAGGGAATGCTTGGATGTATTCATTGCAGTAGTGTTATCTGAGCACCTGGCCTCAAGGCCCAGCCCCCTTGCCTTTGTTTGAGCTCTGAGTCTATGGTGGGGCTGGGAGGCCTGGAGAGGTAGAGATCGGGTGGTGGAATTCTGTTTCTTAATTAGAATCAGGAAAATAGTCCAGGGACTTGGCCTCTGCTTGGTAGGCTGTTCTTGGAGCTCTCTGTTCTCTGGCAGAGCTGACAGTAGGGTGAGGCAATACAGGCACCTGGGGCCAGCATTTCAAGATGTTCTTGCTCTCCCAATTCCTGCATGTGGTTCCCTGAGTGTCTCCATAACATTTTGTGCCCTAGGCATTTGACTGGCTTCACTCTGTTCTCTGGCTGTATATCATTGTTAATGAAATATTTTGCTTTGTATTATGAAAGAAGCATATGTGCATGCTAAGTAAATCACCAGATTATTATTATTATTAAAAATTTATTTATTTTATTTGAAAGGCAGTTAGAGAAATCTTCCATATGCTGGTTTACTCCCAAATGGCTGAAAAAGCCAGGGCTGGGCCAAGCTAAAGCCAGGACCCAGGAACTCCAACCAGGTCTCCCACATGTGTGACAGGGGCCCAAGTACTTGGGCCATCTTCCTCTGCCTTCCCAGGGACATAAACAGCCAGCTGGATTGGAAGCAGAGCAGCTGGGACTTGAATTGGCACTCATATGGGATGCCAGTGTCATAGGTAGCAGCTTAACCTGCTGTGCCACAATGCCAGCCCTTTTTTAATTTTTATAAAGAAAGTAATTAGATTAAACATCAGTACTCACTGGGAAAAATCTTCTTCTATCTTTAGATCTTTAATCTCTTCCTCAGAGGCAACCCTTCCACCAGGTGTTTCTATATCCTTCCAGCGGCTTTTCTGGAACAGGCTCTTCATGCTGTCTTTGTTCATTAGTTTAGCACATAGTCATTGAATTTTTACTGTGTGCAGAATTTTCTTATGTGGTAAGAGTGTGAGAAATTTTTAGCAGGGTGAAAGAAGTAGCGGCAGTGAGTGAGGGGTTTATCAACTTTTATTCCCATCTTAGAGCTACAAAGTGAGCATAGCCAGGATATTGTCAGTCTCTCCATGAGGATGTCCTCTTTTTGTCTCTCTTTTTTTATTTCCTTATTTCTATCTCTGCCTTGTCTTTGTCTCCTGTCTCTCTTACATTTCCTTTTTCTCAAAGCCGCATGTCCTCTTCTGTTTTTGTATTCTGCTTCCTTCCTCTACTTGTGTGATTTCTGTTTGCCTGTTACTAAGGGCTCTTATGTTCTTTGACTTGCTGTGGTTCCCACCCTTCTCTTTTGCCTGCCATTATTAAAGTCAGTCTCTTGGTATTCCAACTCCAAGTTCCAGGTGGAGACAATTTAATAGGCTCAGCTTGGGTTTAGTGTTTGGCTAGGGGATGATATGGGATGGGGAGCAATTCTCAATAAGGAACTGAGCATATACCTCAAAATATGTTTACTATATCACACAGAGATTTGAGGATTGCTGGTGGCTTTCACTAGGTAATCCTTATGTTTGCTGATTAGGCTTAGCCACACAAAGAAAGCTTTTATCAGCAGGGCAGGTCCTGGGAAGACCAACAGCACAAATTCCTTCTGGCTTCTTCTCCCCTCTCCCCTCATCACTGTCCCCCACCTAATGCCCCCCAATACCTAGCTCCTGTGATTGACTAGTAAGTACCTGTGTTATTTGCCAGTTTATGAAATAAAAGCTCTTGAAGGGCCCTGAAGGCTCTTTACCCACCTGTGTTTATTTTCATAGCTAATCCTAGGAACTCCACTCCATTTGAGTGAAGAAAGATCCAGAAGATTCTGATAATTTTCTTGCCCCAGGGAATTGGCTGTTAAGTGGAAGTCATCACCACCTCTATTCCATCCAGAATTCATCAGTTCTCCTCTTTGCTTGGCAGCGAGCTTAAGAAAACAATATGCTTTTTTGTTACCTTCTGGGAATTTGTGATCTTTTCAGGAAGCAAGACCCAAACCTCTGAGGAAGAGATCCACTTGAGACACATGTCCATATGACCATAGCATTAGACACTATGCTATGATGTGAAGTGGGAATGTCATGGGGTTCAGGAGAGAGAGAGCTCAGGGAGAGGCTGACTGGTATATTTGGAGAAGATTTTACAGAGGAACTGGAGGCTGAGCTGGACCTTCGAAGGGAGAGTTGCCCTTGGCTATGGCAGGAGGAAGAGAGTAGGGTATTTCTTTTATGTGTATATCTGTTATGAATAAGGAAGAGAAAGTCTAGCTGAAGCAGAGCATGCAAAGTGGAGGTGGCCTAGAAAATGGACTCAAGGATTTTTTTTTTTTTTTTTTTTTTTTTGACAGGCAGAGTTAGACAGTGAGAGAGAGAGACAGAGAGAAAGGTCTTTCTTTTCCATTGGTTCACCCCCAAATGGCCACTACGGCTGGCGCGCTACGCTGATCCGAAGCCAGGAGCCAGGTGCTTCCTCCTGGTCTCCCATGCGGGTGCAGGGCCTAAGGACCTGGGCCATCCTCTACTGCCTTCCCGGGCCACAGCAGAGAGCTGGACTGGAAGAAGAGCAACCGGGACAGAATCTGGTGCCCCGACCGGGACTAGAACATTGGGGTGCCGGCGCTGCAGGCGGAGGATTAGCCAAGTGAGCCATGGCGCCAGCCCTGAAGGATTTTATAACCTTTGAGGCACACATGAAAGTTCTCTCTTTGGAGGCTAGGGGCAATACTTAGAGGTGTCTCTGCATCCCTTTTTACTGTGAAACTCCTCAGATATTGCTCATTTCCTCCCTGTGAATCAGCAATATTGTTTAGCAGGAGTGCCGGACCCTCAATTCAGTGCCCAGATGTCACAAGATACGCAAGGAGCTGGAGCTTAAAGCCAGCAGTGCTGACATGAGCCCAGGGACTACTCATGTACTCCCTTCTCCATGGACCATGCTGAGAATTGGGAGGTTTGGATAGAAGTGGGGTAGGGTGATTGGTGGGCTTGGGAGTGTGAGCTTGGCAATAGTAATTAGCTTCTCCCAGCCTTAATTTCTTCATATAAGAAATGAGAATAGGAATACTGGTTGAGTATCTTGAAAGATTGAGACCAGAGTATTTTAGACTTAGAATTTTGTTTGATTTTGGAATATTTGCATAGACTTTATTAGTTGAGTATTCCCTAAGCCAAAATGCTCCAAACTCCAAGACTTCTTGGGCATTGGTGTTCAAGAAGTTTTGAACTTTGAACATTTTGGATTATAGACTTTCAGATTAGGGTCCTCAATCTAAAGCTTTTTTTTTTTTTTTAAGATTTATTTATTTATTTGAAATGCAGAGGGACAGAGAGAGAGAGAGAGATCTTTCATCAGGTAGTTCATTCTGTGAATGTCTGCAACAGGCAGGGCTGGACCAGGCTGAAGCCAGGAGCCAGGAACTCCATCTGGGTCTCCCATGTTAGTGGCAAGAACTCAAGTACTTGAGCCGTCATCTGCTGTTTCTTAGGCACATTAACAGGGATCCGGATCAGAAGTGGAGTAGCTGGAACTTGAACTGCCACTCCAGTGTGGGATGTGGGAGTCCCAAGTGGCAGCTTAACGTGCTGTGCCATAACTCTTGCCTCTGTATCTGCATTTTGGGGTTGTTGAGAATTGATTGGGAGGATGTAAGAGGATACTTCAATAAGCTCATGGAAATGGAGTTAAAAGATAAGTTTATTTGGGTGCAGAAAATTTTGTCCGTGTAATTTTTTTCACAAAACTTTTTTCTGTGAACTTTTTGAAGACCGCTCATATGCATGGATTCCAGGGACTTTTTTTTTTTTAATTTTTTTAAATTTATTTTTATTTTTATTTTTTTGACAGGCAGAGTGGACAGTGAGAGAGAGAGACAGAGAGAAAGGTCTTCCTTTGCCGTTGGTTCACCCTCCAATGGCCACCACGGCCGGTGCGCTGTGGCTGGCGCACGGCGCTGATCCGATGGCAGGAGCCAGGTACTTCTCCTGGTCTCCCATGGGGTGCAGGGCCCAAGCACCTGGGCCATCCTCCACTGCACTCCCTGGCCACAGCAGAGAGCTGGCCTGGAAGAGGGGCAACCGGGACAGAATCCGGCGCCCCGACCGGGACTAGAACCCGGTGTGCTGGCGCCGCAAGGCAGAGGATTAGCCTAGTGAGCCGCGGTGCCGGCCAGGGACTTTTTTGAAGTACTTTTGTATATGAAATTACAGGCATGTAGCAGGCTTTTTCTTTTTTATATGTATATGCAAAGCATTGTCTAATTCCTAAGTAAACTGTCATCTGCATCCAAATTTCCTCATTTATTGTTGGATCTGTCTTGTTCACCCTCTCCAGTGTGGCAGCGGAGAGGTCTTATGCCTTTAGGAGCTGGGTGGAAAGAAATGGGAGCACTTATTTGGGAATTCTTTGTACTACTTCACAATTTTTGTTTTCTAAATTTAAAACTATTCTGAAATAAAAAATTTATTGACTTTTATTAAAAGTTTATTAAAACAGACAAAAAGAATGGGTGAGGTCAACCATTCCTGGGCCTGAGGGAAGTTTCCAAAAATAGTTCTGGCTATCAGAGTATCTGAATATATGCTCATGTGTGCCTTTGTAAATTTGAATGTCAACAGGGATGGGACACTCATGGTGTTCTCAGCTGGGGTAGGTATAGAGTATCCCCAGTTTGCCTGTTCTAGTTTTCATGGATCCTTTGGCCCCTTTGCCTTAGGCAGGAATGGCAGAAGTGATGCTGTCTGTAAAGAGAGGTTGGGCTTCTGTGCCCTCAGCTCAACCTTGCCAATGATTTATGGTTTTACTCCTAGGTCTGCTGACATTTGTGAACTGTGCCTATGTCAAGTGGGGCACACGTGTGCAGGACACGTTCACATACGCCAAGGTCCTAGCGCTCATTGCCATCATTGTCATGGGCCTTGTTAAACTGTGCCAAGGTAAGAGGGGCCCAAGGTAGGAAGGAGGGTGGATGTCCCCAGGAGTTCCTCAATTCCCTGAGGAAGTCTCTGTTAGCTTTACTGCTTAGCTGTTTCTGTGTACATGCTAGGGTGTGCCAGAGAGGGTAAGAGATGGCAATAAAGTGCTCCTGGGCTTCTTGGACCAGACTGGCTTGGCCAGCCGGGCAAGTCTATCCTTCCTTCAAGGAGGCTTTGCTTTTGTGGGAAGCAGAGAGGGCCTAGGAGCTATTGAAACTTGGGTCATAAACTTTGACTT